GGGTCAATTCTGCCGCACAGTGTCACACACCAGCCGTGTTTTATCTCTCTCAGAATCTAACAGGGCGTTCTCTGTAACAGAGTTCCCAACTCCTTATCCTACCAATATGAGACTGCTTCACCTTGGAGGATTGTTCATGTATTTTGTATCATGGGGAAATAATCTGTAGGAGTGCGGCCACAATAGATCTATAAAGAATCATAGTATATTTGGGAGATGTGTGATCATGGGAGCGGGTTGATAGATTATATCTTTTCAGCCTTCATTAATGTCTGCTTCCATCGTTATCCGGCCACTAGAATATCCACACATGTACTCTACCTTATAAGCTCCATCGTATTGGGCAACTTCCTCTCCCAGCAAGAACACCTTCTCGTCTCTCTCCAGCTCCTCGTCCATAGCCTGGTTCAAAGCATCCCGAACAGTGATCTAAAACACATCATCATTTTATTCAAAGAATTCCTTACAAAGCAAAAGGGAAAAAAAACTTCTAGCAAAAGATTTCTGAAGACGTGAAGAAACATTCACAAACATCTAAAATAAGAGCTCCAGACCACAAAGTGGCTGAAAACTGCCAATGTGCTCAATGCTATATTACTGACATACCCTATTAAACCTGATATGGCTGCTTGTGTATCAGAGGGACCGATTTATGAACACTGGACCAAACGTAGATTTTTTTACTTTTTACTAAAGCATGATAGAGATGAAAGAAGAGCAGAAACAAAATGTAATCCTTGCAGTAGGGCTACCCCAGCACTTACAACCCTCACACAACGAAAGTCGTGTGAGTGTTGTAAGGTGAATGGCCAGCTTTAGACCTCTAGAATAGAGGGGGAGAGAAGTTGCAGGGACCAGTCTAGCAGCCAGACAGGATTGAGGTAACAGTATCTCTGTTACTTTAGCCTCCTACACAAAACGAGCACTTAACTCTTGCAGTGCAGGAGGGGGGGGGTAGCCCCACCGCAAGGGTTAAGAATAAATCTGCCCGGAGTTCTGCTTTAAGACACGTAAAAAGTATATTCTTGTTTAGAAGAGAGTGGAAATCCCGCTCTGGTACATACCGCAAAGGTGAACAGCACCGCAGCCAGCATGTTAAAGCCCATTCCTAAAATACAGGCTGCGGTGATGAGTCTGCATTGTTTCTCAATGAACTCTCTGCATGACACAGCATAGAGCACTCTGCGATTGGAGTAGAGGCCGCAGAGAGTCCAAAAACGTCACCAGCAGACCATTTAAACGTGAAAAAAAAAAATCTGTTTAATAACACACACTCGTCATTCAAATTCTAGAGTTGAGGCCGGTCACATGACTAACCAGGCTCTCCTCACAGCATTTTTTTTAACCTGTTGCTGTCAGCCATACACATATATGTGGCAGCAGAGTGGAGGGATATGAGGCTGTGCATGCGTACAGCCAGCGCGCTCACTCAGCACCCCCAGCACTGTGACCGTGTTCTCACTGACAGCTGCCGGCCACTGTTTACAATCAGCAGTGAGGAGGACAGACTCAAATCACATGATCAGCGTGACAGCCAATCACAGAGATCATATGACTGGGAAGCCCCACCTCCACCAGGAATGTGGAGAATATAATGCAGGCTCCTCTATAGATCTACTGAAGTCAAGACAAGTGGAGGCCGCTGATTCTTTGAATACATTTGGCAATGGCATGAGTATGCTCAGTGATCTTCTGCCAGCATCCATTTTCAGGAAGGATCATCTCTCCCTTTACTTCCTGGATTTCATACACGGTTAAATTGTAAATAAATAGGTTTTTTTTCCCTTTTGTTTTTTATAGCAGCGGTAGGAGCACACCACAGCTTTATAAATACCCCCATTCTGCAAATAAACCAATCACAGCGTGGTAAGGATTTCGCCTCCAGGACTTCTCTAGAGTCTCTCCCATCCTCTGGAACTCCTTAGCCCAAACTGTCCGTCTATCTCCCACCTTGAATGCCTTTAGGACTCATCTCTTCAGGGAAGCCTATCCTGCCTCAACCTAACCACTGAACCTTCACATTAGAGCTGCAGCTAACGATTATTACTTGGTGTGGTTGAATATGTAATGGATGCCTATGTACACAGGGTCAGGTTTCTTATCACATATGAGGATTCTAATTAAAAACATTTTCTACTGTCTCTAATAATGTCAAACACCCACAATGTCCCATCCAGCCAGAGACTGTGTCATTTTGGCATATTGTCAAGGACAAGACATATTCTGTGTCCTAGCTGGTGACTATGGCAGGGTCATTT